GCAGTTAACATGAAAGGATTGATTGTGTGTGTGTGTGTAAATGTGCGCGTGTATGTATGATTGTGTGCATGTACATGTGTATACGTGCGTGTGTGTTTGTGTGGTCAGATCAACAGGTATTGCATATGTTGTACACAGCGCATAAACAGATGAGGTGTAGGTGTGTAGACAACCGATGCGAGCGTTTCTGATACAGACCTGCGGATAAAAGATGGGACTCCGTCTATGTGATTTAGATCAAAACTTGTATAATTGTTCATTGTATAGATCTGAATTCGTTCTGTTGCATGATGCGTCAAAATTATGATTTGTTGTCATTGTTTTAGAATAAATGAATGGAGAACGGCTTGAACAAAGATCTTTAAAGTGGCTGTGAGACACGGCTGACAGATTCTCTATACATTTTGAAAGCATTTATGTCACTGAGTTCCTAGAAATGAGACTAGACGCTCGCCTGTGGATCGGAAGGTCGTGGCTTCGCTCCCTGGCGGAGCCAGACTTTTGTCAAAAATGACCTTGGCTCCCAGGTAGACCCAGCACTGCGTGGGTACCGAGTGAGTCCCGGAAAGTAAAGACGGCCGGCGTGATGCTGACTACAGCACCCAGCTTGTGTCGATTGGTCTATAAAATATGGGTCTAGCCCTATATGCCTTATACGCCTAGAAGGAGTGGAAAAGGGTCCTTAACTTTTTATACTTACTAGAAATGAATATTGTCCTCTCTCTCTCTCTCTCTCTCTCTCTCTCTCTCTCTCTCTCCTTCTATCCCCCTTCTTTGTGTCTATTTATTCTCCCTTCCTTTGTTTTGCCTACGTCTTTCTCTTTGTCTCTCATTATCTCTCTCGTTCTCTCCTCTCTCTCTCTCTCTCTCTCTCTCTCTCTCTCTCTATATATATATATATATATATATATATATATATATATATATATATATATATATATATATATATATATATCCTTCTCCTTCTCCCACCTCTCAAAATAATTGTGACTTTTTGGAAAAAAAACCATTGGTGAATTTTTTGAACACAAAAAACGATGACTGCAGCACAACTAGGATTTTGTGACTGGTATGTGGCACATTTATGTTTGGATGTTCTTGTCGGAAATTGTAAAAGTGTCACAAGCTAAGACAAAGACGCAGGAGGTGAATAACAATAAAATTGGGAGAATAACATCAAGAGATGGACGAACAGGAGCTTCAGAGGGTCTACAACTTGGACAAGAGGGTGAGAATTTTAGAGATATATTGTAACCAACCTTCATTGTGGTAACTAATTTATTGATTTGTTGGAGATGAAAACTACAAAAATGAAAACACGGAATTACAGTAGAATATACCTTCGCACAGAATGACAGTAAATTATACCTCCGCACACAATGACAGTAGATTATACCTCCACACAGAATTACAGTAGATTATACCTCCGCACGGAATTAACAGTAGATTATACCTCAGTACGTAATTACAGTAGAATATACGTCTACACTGAATAACAGTAGATTATACGTTTACACTGAATGACAGTAGATTATACGTTTACACTGAATGACAGTAGATTATATCTCCGCAAGGAATGACAGTAAATTATACCTCCGCACAGAATGACATTAGATTATACCTCCCCACGGAATGACAGTAGATTATACCTCCGCACGGAATTACAGTAGAATATACGTCTACACTGAATGACAGTAGATTATACGTTTACACTGAATGACAGTAGATTATACATCCGCACAGAGTCACAGTAGATTATACCTCCACATGGAATTACAGTAGATTATACATACACACTGAAAGACAGTAGATTATACATTTACAATGAATGGCAGTAGATTATACATTTACACTGAATGACAGTAGATTATACATTTACACCGAATGACAGTAGATTATACATTTACACCGAATGACAGTAGATTATACATTTACACCGAATGACAGTAGATTATACATTTACACCGAATGACAGTAGATCATACTGTTACACACAATGACAGTGGATTATACATATGAACCAAATGAATGAGGGTTATGCCTCCGCACTGAATGACAGTAGACAGTACCAGCCATCGAGCCGTTCACCACAGTCTGTTCCTCACCTCGATGTTGAACGGCAAAACTGGCAGTTGGCACTGATATGATGATTGTGACCGTATAACCCAACATATAACTTCACAAACAGTATCAGAACAGACATTGGTTTTCTTCAACAAAACGGACATCAAACAAAATATTTCTTTTCTCTAAATTTATTCTTCTATGTACAGTTTTTTAAATATGTAACAGCTGAATTTTCAGGTAAATATATTTATTGCATTGATTATCTCAGACTTAGCATAAACAGTAATACCATATCTCCATTTATATAAACCTGGTATTGTTGTTTTGGACACTGTGGTCACTTATCTGTACTTTTATGACAGTTTCAGGAATGTTAGACACAATGCGTTGTCGACCGCCTGTGATCATATGAAATCTGAATCAACCAGGAAGACATTTGAATGACTGTAGATAAAAAGGCTAAATCAGGAAATACTAAGAGGGTTAAGCAACATTATTTATCAAGTTTACCCAAATTCCTTATCTATTATATCCTGGTGTTGTCAGCCTGGGCAGAGGGTGAGAATGTTACAGATCTATCGCCGCTAACCTTCAGTGTGGGCAGAGAACTGTGCAGCGGGACATAATCAGGGGATCTGGCCGACAGTCGACGCTCAGAGAAAAGGCAAGACAGGCTGGGCTACGGCTGGGTTCAGGGAGTCGCGGTGGCGTAGCAGGTCGAAAGGTTATGGGTTCGCTCCCTGGCGGAGCCGGACTTTTTTCAAAAATGACCTTGGTTTCCAGGTCGACCCAGCCTTGAGTGGGTACCAGCTGCAGTCCAGGGAAGTAAAGGCAGCCGGCGTGATTCTGACCACATCACCCATCTTGTGCTGTTGTTCTATAAAATATCGGTCTAGTCCTGTATATACAATACACCTTAAAGGCGTAGAAAAGGGTCCTTTACGTTTACTTTTTACGGCTGGGTTCAAATACTTATATTTCTTTACCGGGGACACACGGGATTCTCTATCAAGGCTATCCAGCCTTCTTCGTGAGGCCTACACTTGTCTCTTTTTGTCAGGGCCACCAACATTCTCTAGTTAGGCCATGCAAGTACACCTGTCTGGACTCACGTTCGTTCATTTTTTTTTTAATATCCAGAAACCATGAGTTGTTAACCCTTTGGCTCGGTACTATGGATATCGCAACCCTTCAATTCCATAATAGATACCATAAATCTGGGAGAAATGTAGCTTTTCTGCTTACTCCCAGGCGTGAACCCGGACCACAGGGAGTTCGTCACATGGTGGCCGCGAAGGACTACGCTGGCGAGCCGGGCACACATTCGTTTATCAAGGCTGTTTAAGGTTGTCTGCCATTGGTTTCCAAATGTGTTCACGAGCAGCACAGTTGTCAAATCAGGGTTATTTAAAGTTAATCAGCCACGGTATCACAAATTTACCTATATTCAACCTTAGTGTCTCTACTTTTGAGGTTTAAAAACTACTGGCATAGACAATTAAATGATTCTTTGTAGGAACTTTTCTCTGCCACAATAAAGTAATCATCGTCTCTTTTCATGGAAAACAAAAGAGCTTAGTGACTCTGACTCTGACTGAGCTTACATGGTGATTTAATCAATCGCCATCCCCTTGTGGATGCTACTTTTAGTTATTTTGAAGCCCCACCCTGGCTTTTGCTGGAGGTTCTATATAGCCGGGCCCTAAATAAGCGGAACAGCGGATAAATGCATTTGAATATAAATGTTACAGACAGGTTCTAAGAATATCTTGGGTAAAGAAAAGAACAAATGCATCCATACTTCAAGAGCTGAATATTGAAGAGGGTTGGCTAGTAAAGACAATAAAACAAAGAAAATTGAAATATTTTGGTCACTTGAAACGTCATGGAAGTCTAGAGAGAACAATAATGGAGGGGTATATGCCTGGGAAGAGAGGAAGAGGAAGGCCAAGGAGAAGATGGGTGCAGGATGTGGCAGATGATCTCCAGATGGGTGTATCAGACGCAGGACATCTTGCTCATGATAGGAAGGTTTTCTGGAGGGTTGTTATGGCAGCGAGGTTCCGCTAGGGACATGGTACTGAATGAATGAATGAAATATGGCCTAACGGCTGAACGGGATTTCCAGATCCTATCCACTGGTGACCCTCATCCTCATGTTGACACTTTGTGTCTTTGGGTGTTAATCGCTTGTGTGATGTTCTGGTGGGTTACAACTTACTAACTACTTACCTACATGGTCCTTTTGTCTCAAGCTAATATCCTTATTTAAATTGACACAGCTATTCTCCCTCTCGGTTTCTGAAGTCTTTCACTGGCATGTGCTTTCCTGTTTGAGTTGACACGGCTTCATGTGGAGTTCGTTTCTCAATATGTTTACTCTTTCTTTCTGTGTGGAATAAGTTCTCTATGTGACATGAAAAGACTCTTTGATTGGATTATCTCTATGCGTGGGTTTACACAGCGATTCTGTTCAGAGAATGCGTTCTCTGTATGAGCTTACTCAGCCTTTCTGTTAGGTAACTGTTGTCAGTATGAGCTTACAGATCCTGTCTGTACGGAATATGATATTTTATTTGAGCAGACACATCATCTCCACCTGGACTAAATACAGCTAATCATGTCTTTCTCTCATCTTATTCCCCTTCCATCTCTCTCTTTCTCTCTCTCTCTCTCTCTCTCTCTCTCTCTCTCTCTCTCTCTCTCTCTCTCTCTCTCTCTCTCTCTGTCTCTATGTCTCTCTCTCTCTTACTCTCTTTGTAGTCGTTTATATTGTTACATCATTTTCCGAGTTTGCAATGCCGAAGAAAACTTTCTAGCGGCAACGCTTTTGGTATCTATAGTGGTTGAACTGGTTTGGGAAGCTGACTGGGATTTCCTTCTCGTCTGGGCTGAGAGCAGCGTGCCTATGCTACGCTACTTGTAGACACGCCTCATGTCCTCGACACAGAGTCGAAGAGTCCTAGACAAGCGCTATGTTGACGAGCCCGCAGCCGAAGACTCTCTATACTGGAAGTCAACAGTGAGTCCTTTTCACTAACCGGCTGCCCAAGCAATCGGAGATGATTTCCCGGCCTTACATGATGCCTGGCGATCAGATCGTGGAGATGTGATGCTGAATAAAACGTAGACCAAGCTCCGAAAGGAGATAGTGGAGGTGGTAGTGAATAAGTCAGAAACGAAGTTGGTGGCGATGGCTGCAGGGTTGAGGATAAGGACGAAGAAACTGTCAACGGCGACTGAACCAGACCCGGTGACGGCATTCCTGGCATGTGAGACGGTAAGCTGGAGGAGATGGGAAAGGTTAGTTGATGGCTTGGTGTGCTGGAGTCTCGTTTGTGGGGACTGAAGGATTTGTCAGTTGGCATCTGCGTGTCTTGAATGAAGCTTGGTGGTTTCGGCAGACCTGGTAGGAGTGGGTACAAATGGCAGTGCGTTGAGCTTGCTCCGGTAATTGGTGGGTTTGAACCTGAAATGAGGTATATGTTGAACTGAAACTTTTAGCAGGGGTAACATATCATAGCATAGCATAACTTAGTGATGTATAGCATAAGACAGTCAAGTACGCATACAACAGTATAATAAAGTACAGTATAGTACAGTAGAGTGCAGTGCAGCACAGCATACTTCAGTGCTGCATAGCACACCAATACATAGAATTCAGAGTATATCATAGTAATTCTATAGTATAGAATATGTTTTCAGACCAATCGTAATTCGATAGGTGATGTAATGAACACAGGTCTCTTTTATTTTCTAAGAAATTTCCAGGTACCCATTTAACGATTTGGAGAATTCAAAACCCTAGGTCCTTTAAAAAAATCGTTTCCTTCGATAATTATTCGAACTCAAAAATCTCGGGCCGGCGTGCGATGTGACAATGGCTTGGCTGAACATGAAACGGTATTGTATCGTTTGGTATGACACAGTAAAGCCTGAAACTGTGTGTGGTATAGTGAAGCACTGTATAAGGTACATCATTTTATATTAGTATACTATACAATACAGGGTCATCCAGTATAACTACCGTTATTTTGAACTGTTATTATGTTGAATGATGATTCAAGAAACAACGTCACAGCACCGAGGAACATTCCCATAAGCGCTCCGTCCTCATCTCCAACAGCAAGCGCAGTATTCTATTGTATATCATTCTCACTTTCTCCTGTGTGTTCATTAAGCGTCAGTCAGATCCCCTGGTCAGTCCTCGTAGCACTATTTTCATCAGACTGTACAGTAATCATCTATTTATGCCTCCGCACTAACCTATTATTATTACAGTAGTATTCAATGGATTTACACATGTGGCGTCTTAAAACATTGAGAAAGTTTCGTGTAAACTTGTGTGACCGTAAGGCTTAAAACTGCTCTGAGAAGATACGGAACATTAAAGACCTCAAAGAAAGAATCGATGCAGTAATAGCAAGCGTAACTCTAGACATGATTCAGAAGACGTGGCAAGAGACTGAATACCGTACAGGAATTACCAGAGCTACAAATGACGCCCAGATCGAAGTGGATAGGTAGGTCTAAAACTATAACCTTCTCCGAACGTTTTAAGAGTGTGAAATCCCGACTTTCTTTCTCGAGGGCTCTCTATAGTATAATATAGTCTTTCTCTTCTTTACGAATACGGGCTGTAAAGTCCAACAGAAGATTCTAGTTTGTTCGTCCACTTCTCGGCTTTGGTCTCGTTTCAGCACCTGAGTTTTGTATGAACAATCGTTTTACATGAATTACTATGATATACTCTGAATTCTATGTATTGGCTTATTTGTACGCAGAATGATGGTTCCTTGCGAATTTCCTTATGCATTTCGACGTCGAAGGAAACTCTTAATTAGTCGACTCTTACGACATGCTTGTTAGAAAGACAGTGGGTTTATTTCCCCGCCGCTCACTTTACAATGGGGCTCCGGAACACACCCAGGAAGTATAATACATAATTGTACTGTATCTTAAGATCAGAGCAGGTTTGTAGTAAGCATAATTATAGGTGTTGAAAATATGGTTACAGCAGTGAAGCTGATATCAAGAATCTAATTCACATACACGTTACTACACACACACACACACACACGCACACACACAGACAGACGCACACACACGCACACACACGCACACACACTCACACTCACACCACACACAAACACGCACTATGATTAGGGCGCTCAAAGAGGGAAAACAGAGAATCGCGAACAAAGGTGCAACGGAACTATTTTACCAGATAAAGACTGTTCCGTCACTTTGCTAAAATAAAAAAATAAAAAAAGCAGGTTCATCTAACATCCTAGAAAGGGGAACTTTAAGTTATAATTATGACTAGGTTATGTGTTCCATAAAAATGGCTTCGCATTGCATGTCACTAAGACGCCTGTAGAGGATCCCTGCAGTGTTGATGCGATCAATGGAGACAGACCCCAATACTGTCCCGACGGGCGACGAAGTCGTTTACCGGCCATCCAATGGGCAAACACCCCCCCCCCCTTTCCACCCCGCACTTTTTTTTCCCCGTTTTTCTCATCCCAACCACTTTTTTTTTTTTTTGGCTGCCCTTTTCTATATCTCTCGCCGAGTTTCCTACATATAATTTGTGCTTAGCAGATTTGCGTTAATTTTATTCTACTAATGCCACACATTAATCACCAACATACTTTTCGGGCGTGGAGACGGCGATCCGGGGCCACCTTGGTTTCTGTTGAGTATGGCGCCTGAAAGCTTTGAGAACATGTCGTCCGGTGAAGTAATGGCTGCAGCGAGTGGACACTTAGTAGGACTTGACTGAGAGGCTCTAAGCTCTGTAAGGTGAGACAAATAACATAGTGATGTATTTTGTAATGTTTGTTTCAGTTGTCTGTTTCACCTTAGTACAATTCAGCACTGGAAATTTAAAAAAGTGGAAGAGAGGAGTAGAGTAGTGAAGTGGGAGTAGTGTAGCATAGAGTTGCATAGAGCAGAGCAGAAGAGAGTAGATTAGAATGGGAGTGGCATAGAATAGAGTTAAGCAGAACAGAGAATAGCAGAGTAGGGCAGTACAGAGTAGACCAGAGGAGAGCAGATTAGAGTGGGAGTGGTGCAGAATAGAGTTAAGCAGAGCAGAGAATAGCAGAGTAGGACAGTACAGAGTAGACCAGAAGAGAGCAGATTAGAGTGGGAGTGGTGCAGAATAGAGTTAAGCAGAGCAGAGAATAGCAGAGTAGGACAGTACAGGGCAGACCAGAAGAAAGCAGAGTAGAATAGGAGTGGTATAGAATATAGAAGCAGAGCAGAGCAGAGTAGAGTAGGGCAGAACAAAACAGAGGAGAAGAGAGCAGAGTAGAGTAGAGTAGCATGGAGTACAGCAGAGCAGAATATAGAAGCATAGACTAGAGAAGCGCAGAGTAAAGCGAAGAGGCGTACTAACTAAACACAGTCACCTTCAGTAAATAGTCAGGAGGCTTTTTCCCAAAGCAGTGGCACACAATGTATATGATGCTAGACTAAATTTGTTAAAGATCATTCGACCTCCACGATGGTTGATAATGTAAACATCACAGTGGCCTCCTTTAACTCTTTGAGTCCCAGGGTGTTTAGCATCAGAGGCCCAAAGGGTAGTCAAAAGAGATGTAAAATGGGCGCATCTTGGGTTCATTGGGCCTCTAGGCGGGAACCTATGAACGTATGATGCGTTCCTTGCGACTCAAAGAGTTAAGGAGCAGGACATTTCCAGTAAACCTTTTGGACTGCGTGGACATGGGAGACAACGTCATTTAAAAAAAAAAAGTAAGTTGCTTATCCTTTACAGGACGTTGCAGCAGGACAAACCCCAGATTTATTTTTTTGCTGCTGTGGTGTTTTTTCTAGGGAAATGTTATGTTCAGTAGTTTGCCATTGCCTCCTGCACGCTCGGCTCTCGGTACCACTGTCGAAACCAACGAAAGACAAATCGTCCGCAGCAAGGATCAAACCTGCACTCCGGCATTACAAATCCCGTTCGCAACGCCTAAGCCACAAGCGGCGACTGGGAGACAAGGTAAAAAAAAAAATCAATCCCTTGCGGATCCAAACCCGTGACCTTCGAACTGGCAGATCAGTGTCCATATAGAACCTTTATTGGGAGAAGAAAAGGAAAAGGTGAGGTGGGGGGGGGGGGGGGGGTGGGGAATTACCGAAAGTTCCGTGAGATTTTAGCTTATTTTATTTTAAATAATGTTTATTATAGAGTGCACTGGGTCTATCCTCCCAATAGGGAGCCGGAACTGACAAGATGACAACTCCCATCTTATTATTTTATATACATACCTGTATTCAAGGGAGACAAGCCGTCAGGCTGATGGTTTGACCTAGAGTCATCGGTTATCTGTTCATGGTTGGAGGCCACATCTACGTCGTCCAGATCATCATCTACAACAGGCACTTCCTCGTCGTTGTCGTCGTCACTGTGAGAGTAGGAGCTCTCCCGACACGAGTCGTCCTTGCTTGTATCATCGCACACATTGACGTCACTTTCGTTAGCTTCCAGTTTTGCGTCTGATGAAGCACCGGATGTAACGCCATCTTGAGTTTTCTGCCTAGTTCCCCGCTGTTTCTTTCTGTACTTTGCTCTTCTGTTCTTGAACCATACCTAATATGAAACAAAAAGAGTTGAAATTTTATGTAGTATTTGAAAAAAGATTATGCAGTAGTTCAGTGGTTGAGTATTTTGGAAATACAAAGAACGTTCATAATGTCTAAGCCACAGATGCCAACATTATTATTTTATTTATTGCTATAAACGGAACAACGGATCAACATCATGACACACGGGTGTAACCCATAAGTGCTCCGTTCTTCTTGTAATTCAAGTCTGAGTCCGGAGAAGCTCAGCACGGTGCACGGGCTCTGTAACACCGGCGAGGATCCTGAAATACTTTGAGTAAATTTCTAACTCCAGATTTTGCTCGGGCAGCGCCGTTAGGCTACTCTTCTCGATTTTCAACTGCCAGGGGATTTTATACGTGCGAAACAATACCCATAAGGGAAATTACTAGAAGTCCAAATACACTTTAAAAAATCCCAACCCTTACCAGGGATTAAACCCGAAGCCTCTAGCACTAAAGGCGGAAACCATGCCTCGAGACCACCTAGCCCCCTTACATAGAAATTGGAAGTTTTCGGTGGCTGCGGAAGTTGAGGACTGAACGTTTATGGGACTGTCTCGAGAGCTGTGTATTCTATTCTTAACATTTAACAAGATAGGCGATGAATATACGATAAACTAAGCTCAGTGGACTCAGAAACGGCGGAAAAATAAGAGCTTAAGCCCCTAGGAGCTTCATCTTCCTGGAGAATTTGTATGAGGGGTGCAGCCTCATCTTCACCTGCCCCAGCCCCTCCCCCGCCCCCCCCCCTCACCTAATCGATATCACTTTAGGTATCTATTTATACATTAAATGTTATAATCCAGTGTGTTATCCTGTTTGTTTGACATGTCATAAATCAGTATTAATATTATTATTATTTATAATATTATTAATGCAATTATTTTCTTCAGTTTAAAATAGCTTTTTTCGTTATTATTTAGCCAGGACGTTATCAATTATGTGTTTGGACGAACAGCACAAAGTATGGTTCAGTTTCAGTTTTCGCTTATTAAGCATTTTGTTGTTATTTGAGCACACAAGCTAATGATATCCGTTGTAAGAGATCGTAAGATGCGGAGAAGCTTGATCGCCCATGATAGTCGACAAGGTATCTGATTATGATGATGATGATAAAAACGGCAATGATGATAACGACGGTGTTTTGATGATGATCAGGATAATGATGTATCCAAGTCCGTTGGGAAAGAAACAAAATATAACTAAAGATTAATTATATTGTTAAAATAAAGAAACGCATAGTTATCAGATAGTTTTTTTGGGGGGAATTGGGGGGGGGGGGGGGGGGGGGTCAACTGATTGGATGCTCCATAAGCTTTTCTTATGCGCAGCTTCAACAATTTCCATAATAAAAATTACACATTCCCGTGTGAGCCGTGGGGCTCCATTGTAAGGAAAACAAGGACATACCCCTTGCATACCCAAAAGCATGTCGCAAGTGTCGATTAACTGGGAGCTTCCTTCGAAGTCGGAGTGCGTCTGCCTGAAATGATGCAGATATTTAAAACGGGTTTGCACGCAACACTCAGGTTTTGGAAAAGGACTAGAATCCAGAAGTAGACGAACAACCAGAGTTTTTACCTAGTGAACGCAAAGAATAATAATAGAAAGAATTACACAGATTATGAACATCACATTTCTGATAAATTTATGTTACTTTCAGTAGCTATGAAATGGCAGGCCCTGCACATGAAAAGATCTGAGGTGAAAATAAGAGGCTGCCCTAGGAGAAGATGGACTGATGACATTAAAGATCTTCTACATCGACATGGAATGACAATAACCATTGCTGCCCATCAAGCAATGGATCGCAAACTGTTCCTTCCCACAACGCTTAAAGGCAGAAGTGGAAATTGATAATGATGACGGTGCTGATGATGAAATAGTATATTAGAAAACAATGGTAATGTCAAGTTATCTACCTGAATTCGGGCCTCAGGAAGATTGGTAAGTATGGCCAGGCGCTCACGCATGACCACGTCAGGGTAGTGGGTTTTGGAGAATGTTTTCTCTAAAGCCGCCAGTTGTTGGTTGGTAAAAGCAGTCCGACTTCGTCGCTGCTTCCTGTGAGCCCCGTAGCGAGAATCGAAGATCAAGTCTGATAGAAATAAAAAAAAAAAAAAATCACTTAATAATAAAAAGCAATCTCGTATAGTATATAAGTAGAGGGCAAAGCCATTAAACAAGCATCTGAGTTTAAATATGGGGAGGGAGGGGAAGGGGACATTTACCAAAGATGGCAAACTGGGTAAAGAATTTAGCATCCAATATAATAAAGAAATCCCAGTTGAGCCATATGGCTCCCATCTTACAGCAAAAGACAGTCTCGATCCCTATCGTACAGCAAAAGACAGTCTCGATCCCTATCGTACAGCAAAAGACAGTCTCGATCCCTATCGTACAGCAAAAGACATTCTCGATCCCCATCTTACAGGAAAAGCAGGTCTAGATCCCCAACTTACAGCAAAAGACATTCTCGATCCCCATCTTACAGGAAAAGCAGGTCTAGATCCCCAACTTACAGCAAAAGACAATCTCGATCCCCATCTTACAGGAAAAGCAGGTCTAGATCCCCAACTTACAGCAAAAGACAATCTCGATCCCCATCTTACAGAAAAAGCAGGTCTAGATCCCCAACTTACAGCAAAAGACAATCTCGATCCCCATCTTACAGGAAAAGCAGGTCTAGATCCCCAACTTACAGCAAAAGACAATCTCGATCCCCATCTTACAGGAAAAGCAGGTCTAGATCCCCAACTTACAGCAAAAGACAATCTCGATCCCCATCATACAACAATCTCATCAACGCAAAGAAACATCTCACATGCCTTGCATTTCCTCTGAGGCTTACAACTGAGACAAGGATAAGATGGTTGTAGTCAAGTCATACCTGGGTACTGTCCAAAGAGAAACGGCGCTGCAAAGTGTAACGGGTGATTGGGTGGTGCTATTCCAAAGTACGGATGTGAAGCCTGGAACTGAAGACCGAATGCTCCGTATCCCTGCATGCTGAGAAGAAAGAGATTTTTAACGATTAATCAAATCAGTATTACTTATTACTGATTTAACGAACAACATCTTAGCATACATAGATGCCTCGTCTCCCGTAGCATCATCATCATCATCATGTACCCTGCCAACTGGCGTAGGCGCTCATGCGTCTCCACAGATCACGATCCCTGGTTGCCTGGAACAGCTCTCTTGGTGATATCTCTCCATGCCACCGTTTCAGCCCATCCAACATCATCTCTCTTTGTCTGCCTCCACCCCTTTTTCCACTGATCTTTCCAGTTGTCACGATGTTCTCCAATGTCTCTCTCCCGCAGCAAATGTCTTCAAATATCCACGATGGCCTTTCCAGTATGACACTGGTTGTACACATGTGATACTCTTTCTCTCATTGAACCCTCACTTGCAGGATCTACGCCTAATTCCAGATTCATGCAGCCGTACACAAAGTGCCTCATATAGCATCATATTTTCAATCAGCACTCGTTCATAAATGGTCTTCAGAATGGTGCCTTGTCTAAGATGATTGTTTACATTGCTGTCGCTTTAATTGCTCATTCACTGCCCTCAGCGAGGGTAAGGGGTCTGACCCTTTTAAACGAATGAAATATCTTACAACGCTAATTTATATTGCATCAGAATTGCCACACAGCACGTTCAACTAGTCTGTCATGTTTTTAAATCATGTAATAGGCACTAATCTCCTCTGAAAGTACCGGAGAGTTTTGGGAAATGCCATTCTGGTCTCAAGACTCAGTGAAGGGAAACCCCGCAACTGCACCTCCACGCGGTAGAGGACGGTAAACACACTGCGGTGTGGCCAACGCAGCTATGGGGACCGAGTATCCGCCGGGATAAGTGGACACCTCTGAGGCTCCTCTGCTGTTAGCAGGTGCATCACAGAGCAGGGCACTCACTTGCCCTAGCAATCTATAAGGTTGCTGAAGGCTGAGGACATGGTCTAAAGCCATGTGGATGTGGAAAGCAACGGGATACTACCACATTACTATCCCAAGAAACTCATCATGGAAGCCAAAAATGAAACAATAAGGTGAGAAATATTGACATCTTAAAAGATCTGAACATCAAGGAAGATTGGCTAATAAACAGCATCATTTCTCGAAAGCTGAAATATTTTGGTCATATCAAGCGCCACGACGGATTGGAAAAAATTATAGCAGAAGGCATGGTACCAGGAAGGAGGGGCAGAGGCCGACCGACACGAAGATGGGCACAGGATATAAGTGACTCCTTGAGTATGAAAGTACATGAGGCGGGGGAACTGGCAAGAGACCGAGTTTCTTACAGGCAGACTGTGATGAGAGCGACGTTCTGCAAAGGACCTGCTAAACGATGATGATGAATAAGCACTAATAAACAGCCAAATAGCTTTACCGTTTCCTATCCTTTAAATCGAATAAAATTATGGGTTTTATGTTTTTTTTTTAAAAAGAAAAATTCATGTATGCTAAGTATTTATTGTCAATTATATTTAAAGACGAGATTACTGACTTCATTGCATAAGGCTATTAATCACTATTTATCTGACTCTCCCCGTAGTTACACAAAGCACAAACTTCATTGCTGCAGCCACGAACAACACGAATGTTTTAACCATCTGTACTCACTTACGATTTATAGGAATGACGGACACGTTTTAAGCACATTTAGAAAAACATTAAATGAGGTGTAGATGTGAATACGTATACAAAAAACAAACATTTATTGAGGTGTAGATGTGTATAAGTGTACAAAAACAAACAAGAAATGAGGTGTAGATGTGAATACGTATAAAAAATCAAACATTAAATGAGGTGTAGATGTGAATACGTATACAAAAAACAAACATTAAATGAGGTGTAGATGTGAATACGTATACAAAGACAAACATTAAATGAGGTGTAGATGTGAATAGTATACAAAAACAAACATTAAATGAGGTGTAGATCTGAATACGTATAAAAAATAATAAATGAGGTGCAGATATAAATACGTATACAAAGACAAACATTAAATGAGGTGTAGGTGTGAATACGTATTTAAAAAACATTAAATAATGTGTAGATGTGAAGATGTATACAAAAACAAACATTAAATGTGGTGTAGATGTGAATATGTACACAAAAACAAACATTAAATGAGGTGTAGATGTGAATACGTATACAAAAAACAAACATTAAATGAGGTGTATATGTGAATACGTATACAAAAACAAACATTAAATGAGGCGTAGATGTGAATACGTACACAAAAACAAACATTAATTGAGGTGTAGATGTGAATATGTATACAAAAACAAACATTAAAAGCCATAAGTTTAACAAAGATTTAAATTCATCTCTTTAAACAGCAATGCCTCAGTGCTAAAAGTCCGACTATCCCTGAGAGCAGGACTTTGACACGACTCAGATTAATTCAGTTCAGTGTTATTACAGGAGTCCAGATTCCTTGTAATGAAATATGAATCTAACTTGTACACATACATAGATAATACAAAACAATAGTATATTTGTTTTGTTTTGTTTTGTTTTGTGATTTTAGTAAAAGTTTATAAACTTTTACTAAGGTCACCAGTGTTTAGTCGGTGTACTTTGGATCTTTTCTCCAGGCCATGCTAGCGTGGTGGGTAATGAACAGGCAGGCATATTGGCTGGATCTGCACCACTGGGTGGTGAATTTATACATGACAAGGCAGATGTGGCCAAGGCCCTTTGGGAGCAAACAACGGAATCCGTAGCGAAAGAAGATTATTATGGCTTGGAGAGAATGAGGCACCTGGGTGTAACTAGAGGGTCTGGTCGGCTCACTACACTAAGAGAGTAATGGCAAGATGGACATACAACCAGATTGCGACCGGTACCATCAGTATTGCAACTCTGTGCTGGCTGCTGAAGATGAGGACGGAGCATGCATGGGAATTCCTCGTGTGGTGTGATGATTCTTGTATCAACCCAACTAGTCGTTCAAAACTTTGCCTTCGATTTTAAAACTATTTACTGATAAGCTTATCCAACTGAAACTTTGCACCTACACTATTCTTGAATGACAAAGCAACGTCATATCAAAATTCAGAAAAACAAAATATTTTTTGGGGGGTTGATAACTGGTGAATTTTGTATATGATACATAAATAGACAATAATAATTTGAAAATAATTATTTAACAGTTCATCATGGTATTTGGATGTTTCGAAATGTGTAACAACAATAATCTAATTAAGGTATTTTACCGTAATGTAAATAATAACAGAATTGTTGGAAATTATAAAATGGGTATTCTTTATTGACACATGCTTCTTCAGTTAACTTATTTGATTAACAATGTGTAGTTATAACTGGAAAAAGTAGAACATTCTTTAAATCATTTTTTTACAGTGAAAGGCCCCTTTTCCACGCCTTTATGCGTATTTGTAATATAGGACTAGACCTATATTTTTTATAGACCTATCTACACTTGGTGGGTGATGTGGTCAGCATCACGCCGGATGCCTTTACTTTCCAGGACTGCACCTGGTACCTATTCAAGGCTGGGTCAGTCTGGGAGTCATGGTCATTTTGGGGAAAAAAAAATTCTGGCTTAGTCAGGACGCGTAACCTCGACCTTCCGATCCGAACCTGGGCTTCCAGTCGCCAACACCACAACGACTTCCTTTATACAGTAAGCTTTTATATAATATTCATACAATTAACTAATGCACACAGTAATACACAGCCAACAGAATAATACTCCACCCGAAATTCAAAAAAAAAAAAAAAAAAGTATAAACCATTATTCAATTCATTCTGTTATTACATTAAAGTATATTATTAGGTAATTATTTGTATATTACTTTAAACGGCGGTCCATGCTTTTATTATTTTAAATTTTAAACTGTACATGAATTTTTTAAATAGATAATTATTTAATTTCCTGTTTCCATTGAACTAGGTGACACATTGTGTTTGTAGCGTTTTAGTGCATTCACTATTTTTAAAAATAGATGATCTTCCATGCATTGACGTCAAACTGTTTAGCATCTTCTTTCTGCTTCCCTTCTGTCTCTTTTCCATACCACATTTTTCTACCATCACAACGTACTCTAATTTTCAGCTTCTCATGACATGACCAAAGAATGTAAGGTTATACTAACGTTTTCCGGCCCAGAAAGGGAGTGACTTCCCTTCTCATTCATGCTTGTCGTGTAGCAGGTCCTGTCCTATGTTGCTCGGGTGTCACGCTTAGTGACTGGCCAGCAACGCGTAGTATTTTACTCGTTAATGTCAACGGCCAGCGATATCGCGTGTTCTATATTCCACGATGTGAGTGCTTTTAACGGTCCCAAAACATGTAGAACTGGCCCTAAACCCCAACCCCCCTACCCCACAGCCTCAGCCTATGTCCAGCGACTGCACACAGCCATGGTAACTCGACTATATGCAGCGTATATTATTAGCTGCATTCAGTCGTGGGACGTAGGCTTCACTCTCTGGTGGGACGTAGGCTTCACTCTTTGGTGGGACGTAGGCTGAGGCTGTGGAGTAAAACTCAAGACGACCTGTCGAATGTCTGTCTGTCTCTTTTCCCCCTTTGCAGACACAATATGATTGTGAAATAATAAACCATAGCAAAGCTAATTTATAATCGGTTTGAAAGGGGGATTTTAAATTATTACTACCATTCATGATCTCAAATACACTCGTAAAAACCAGTTTGTACATAAAATAAATAAATAAATATATTTAAAAAAATAATATTTAGCATAGACAAGTGGCTGACCGTGTGTTTAGGGAGGGAAAAATAAAAATCGAAGTGGACTGAACTAGCCATGCGGCCCTAATTACACCGGAACCTACCAATCAAATACCTTTCTTAAATGTTTGTGTATTCTAGACAAAGCAATGAGGTCTTACTGTGTTCGTAAATTGTTGCTGTGATTGTTATTCGACATTTGCTTCGTTAATATAAATTTATGTAACCTATGGTGCCATTTCAATGGGTTGAAATGAATTCTGTCCGTATT